GCCATCTAGCTGAGAAGCAACAAAGCCCACATGGAAGAAGCACACCAGCCTGTGTGATCACACGGTGTCAATAGGATCAGGTCTTGGGCATCAAAGAACAAAAAAATCATATCATTGTGAATGAGGAGGAGTGCAGAGTAGAGACCCAAAGCCCATCTGTAGGCAACTGGACATCCCCTTACAGAAGGGTCACGGGGAGGAGATGAGTAAGTCAGGGTGCAGTGTAGTAACGATGAAACATACAACTTTCCTCTAGTTTTTTAATTCTCCCCCCACCCCCCACCCCACTATCATGATCCCAATTCTAACTTACAAATTCAACTGGACCAGAGAATGTACACTGATACAGTTAAGAGCTGGAAACACAGGGAATCCAGAACAGATAACCCCCTCAGGACCAATAATGAGAGAGATACCAGGGGGGGAAGGGGAAGGTGTGGGAGAAAGGGGGAAGCGATCATAATGATCTACATATAACCCTCTCCCTGGGGGACGGACAACAGAAAAGTGGGTGAAGGGAGACATCGGACAGTGCAAGACATGGAAAAATATCAAGGGTTTGTGAGGGAAGGAGGGGGGGAAAGAGCTGATACGAAAGGCTAAAGTGGCAAGAAAATGTTTTGATGATGGTGATAACAGATGCACAAATGTGCTTGATGCAATGGATGTACGTGTGGATTGTGATAAGAGCTGTACGAGCCCCCAGTAAAATGATTTATTTTTTTAAAAATCTATTGCTTTTAGTCTTGCTATGAGTTGGAGCTAACTCGTTGACACCTACCAACAGTATTTAATTCATTATATAATTTTATTTATGTATTCTAATTAGACATTTCAAGTTTGCCTTCAACTGTACTGTGACTTCAATGGGTTGTGGATTTGGAAATAGAAAAATTCCAAATGTTTCTGCTAGCATACAAACTCAGCGAGTGCAGAAACTTCATCCATCTGGTTCCTGGTTATCCCTAAGATAACACACAACGCCACAAGTATTTAATGGAAGGCTAAATAAACTGCCTTTTACTGTGACTTCAGGCTTTGTTTTATTTTTTTGTTTGTTTCTATCCTGAGAATACACAGAACATGGACCAGTAGTTTCTGTTTGTACAGTTCAGTGATACTAATTGTATTCTTCAACATCTCCTTTTCTGAGATGTTCCTCACTGATTGGCATAAACTCTACCCACTAAGTTTTCTATCTAATCTTTCAGATTCAATGTTGTCCATTTTATTCCATATAGATAGATCTTAAAAGAGTGTAATATTCAAGGCAGATAAGCTTTACTGGTTAACTATGCTTAGGTTTTAAAATTATTTTAGAGGGTATATTTGGTTTATGGTTCAAAGGAGCGGTTCTCAACCTGTGGGTAGTGACCCCTCTGGGGGTCGAACGATCCTTTCACAGGGGTCACCTAAGACCATCGGAAAACACTTATTTCCCATGGTCTTAGGAACCGAGACACCGCTCCTCTATCCTTCTCCACGCAGGTCCACCCACATGCAGATATGCCCACATACGAGTACCTGGTGTGAAGCCTGTTACCCATGCTACACCATGCTTCAAGACAAAATTTCATTTATTTTTAATTAGAAATAAATATTTCACAATATATAATTACATATTGTTTTTTGATTAATCACTTTGCTTTAATTATGTTCAATTTGTAACAATGAAAATAAATCCTGCATATTAGATATTTACATTATGATTCATGACCCTGGCAAAATTACAGTTATGAAGTAGCAATGGAAATAATTTTATGGTTGGGGGGTCACCACTACATGATTAACTGTATTAAAGGATCTCAGCTTTAGGAAGGTTGAGAACCACTGGTTTAAAGAGTATCCCTGGACAGTAGTCTTTTGGGGTTCATCCAGATTTCAAGACTTTACAAAAATCTAGATCCCATGAGAATGTAAAATTTTGCTCTGATTTTTCTCCCCCTTGCAATCAGGATTCTTGTTTAGAAACTGTGCTCAGAATGTTCACTAATGGTAGCTGGGCACCATCCAGTTCTGGTTTCATGACAAAGGAAGCAGTTCATGGAGGCAAAGGTTTTTTGTATTAAGAGTTTCCTTAGTATGTTAAAGGAAGTACTACTTCCTTGTAAACTGCAGAATGCTGAAATAGGACTCAATGGAAATAAGTGCTCAACTGACTCATGCAGAAATAAGACTTAAGGACTAAAGGAGTGGTGGTAAGGAATATTTTGGGGGGTATACCATACCAACTAAAGTATTCTCAACTTTTGCATCTTCTCAGGAGCACTCACTGTGGGCCTAGTGCGACAGTGTCAAACAATCCATGGACGAGACCGAACGTGCATCCCTCCCCGGCTCCCCCCAGAGTGGGTCACCACGCTGTTTTTTATCATCATGGGGATCATTTCATTGACTGTCACTTGTGGTTTGCTGGTGGCTTCCCACTGGCGAAGAGAAGCTACAAAGTATGCTCGATGGATAGCATTCACTGGAAGTAAGTAACCCGTGCTTACAAGTTTGTCTAGAAGAAACACACACTGGCCTTTTGATGAAGATAATCAAGAGCCAATAATAAGGACTCCATACTCATCAAAGAGCGCAAGTTGTGTCTGCCCTTGCAATGGACTCTCTGCAGTCCAGCCAGTTCTCCAGAATTCTCAGTATGAGATCAGGACATCCAAAGCCTTAATCACTTTGTGTGAAATGTTACTGTTTTGAGTTCGATTTTTGCTCCCATTGTGACATACGTTTTCTGACTTTGTGACTCAGAGCTCCCAGTGGCCTAAGTTTTCCCCTCTTTTTGTAGGTATTGGTATCTTCTAGCCAATAAAGATCAATCTAGGAGAAAAAGTAACAAAAATAGAAATTAGATGAAGGTTATGGCTTGCTCTTTAATATAATAGATGTTTAGTTTCTATTCTGCGCTGTTTTCTGACTTTGCTAAATTAGGAATATTTGATTTTTTTATCATTGCTTATCAATATTTCTTTATTTTGCTATGCCCATAGGCGTGACATATTTACATAGTATACATGTTCTTCTGCTTTGCAAAAGTGGTTTAATTCCAATGCACAGAATTGTCCCAGATTAAACAAAAGAAACAACGTGGACAAGAAATTATATATCTGTCATTTTATCTCCCAGCTACTTTCTCAAAAGCAATTTTGCCACCCCAAGCAACATTTGGAAATGTTTTGGGAGTGTGTGTGTGTGTGTGTGTGTGTGTGTGTCCCCTACAGTACACAGGATAGCCGTCCATAACACAGTAGTAGCAATGTTAAGAAACCGTACTCTGAAGAAACAGGATGACAAGAACTATGCCAAATACCAGGGGCTTGATGTAGTGCATTCAGCACCTTCAAGCATCTCAGGTTTGGACAAGGAGCTGGCGGCGGTTGTTTTAAAGGAATATTTTAACAGAGCTTGCTTTCCCTTGATGTTTTCATTTAGAATGAGTATGATGAGGGTGGAAGGAAAATCTCATAGACCTTTCAGGACCTTAGAGTCTATTTCTCTCTCTCGCTCTTTGAAATTCTCTTTAGTGTATGCTTCTGACTCTGTCTTTATAATCGTGTCTCTGATCTCCCCCTTAATTTTAAAATTCAGAGCAACAAAATCTCCATCTTTGTTAAGCAGCATGAAAAAGTTGGTCTTTCACCTATCAAGCCAACCTTCGAGACATTATTTTTTGGAGAGTAGAGTTTAGAGGCAATTATAGAGAGAATGATTCTACATTAAAGGACATTGGTAAGGAATTTGAAGAGAATCTGATTCTTTGACTCTTAGGTGGGTAAATTAAAATGTATTGCTACAAAATCATAGAATATTAAACAAAATGTCAAAATATGAAGGTATTGTTTCTTAACTTAATCTTCATCTCTCTCAATGTACTTCTGATGGTATAGATCTTAACCTTTCTCAAAGAATTCTGTACTCTTCCAATTTACAGCACATTAAAATGGCAGTTTTGGCATCCGCTGGTGACCCAAATTTTGTTCCATTTCAATGTTCTCTTGCATTTGGGGACCAACAAAAAAGTTCGGAATCAGGCAACATCGGGACTTGGGTGGATAGGGAAGGATTTCCTAATGAAATTTTCCCTAGGGCAGCCCTTGCTGCCTTTGAAGGTGCATTGTCTTGATGGGAAAAAATTTCCCGACTATAAATTTCCTAGTCTTTTTCTCATTGATGCAGTTTTCAAACTCTTAGAACTTTTTGTAATAAAATCCTGTGATTGTCCTGTGTCCTTTGAGAAAATGCGTCAAGATTCCTTCTTTTGAGTCTCAAAAAGCACACTCCATAGCCTTCTGAACTGATCTCTCTGCACTTAATTGGACTAGCAGATGTCCTCATAAACCATTGTTTGCAATGGACTTTGTATTCTTTAAAACACCGTAAGGAGCCTGTTGGTGTTGTGAAGTGCCATCAAATCAGTTCCTACTCACAGCAACCCAGTGTGCAATAGAGCAAAACACTGCCCAGTCCTGCCCTATCGTCATGCATGTTGCTATGTGAGAGCTCATTGTTGCAGCCATGGGTCGGTCCAGCTTCCCCGAGGGGCTTCCTCTTTTTCACTAACCCTCACATTACCAAGCATGATGCCCTTTGCCAAGGGTTAGTCCCTCCTGATCACATGTCCAAAGTATAGAAAAAGGAAGTCTCGTCGTCTTTGTTTCTAGAGAGCATTTGGGCTATACTGCTCAGCATATTCCTTCATTCGTCTGGCATTCCAGTATTCTTCACACATGTCACGATTCAAAGGCATCGGTCTTTTTATTAATTGTCCAGCGTTTGCGTGCATATGAGGCGATTAAAAATAGCTGTGGCTTGAGTCAGGCGTACCTTAAATCTTCAGTGACATCTTTATGTATTTTTTAAACACTTGAAAGAGGTTTTGTACCAGATTTGCCTAATACTCAGTCTGTCACTTAATTTCTTGTCTATGGCATTGACTGTCAATCCAGGTAAAATGAAATCTTTGACAGCTTCGATCTTTTTTCTGTTGATAATGATATTACTTAGTGCTGTTATTTATTTATTTATTTATTTATGTTTAATGGTTGCGTCTTTATTTGAAAGTCTTAGCTGCCAACTTAGCGTTTTCCACCCACCCGGGCAGCGGACACTTTCACAGGCTTCCCGATCGTTTGCTCAGGTGCTGCCTTTGTGGGGCCTTCGTAGCGGCCATTGCTCTTTTCAGAAGCCTGCTTTGCCTTTTTGCTTCCTTGGCAGCCCCGATAGCCTGCTCTCGTTGGGCCTTTCTAACTTTGGGTTTCTGATTCCTCTCAGCCATTATATTAGAGATGCACCAGTGGTGGCCCTCTGGAATTTGACTGCACGGCAGGTTCTTTTCTTTTGAATTTCTTCCGATTGCCCCTTTTTGGGCTTCCTTCTGTAGAGAACAGTCCAATTTATGTGCCGAAGTTTCCTCTTGGAAAGGAATGCCGATTCGCATTTTGCATTAAGAAATTGCATTAAGAAACTGGAAAACCTTTCCAGCGGTCCTGGCGTAGCGCCTCCCGTGTCCAGGGTAAATCTTGTCCCCACTGAAACTGCACAGCTCGACTTTCATGGCTGCGGCAGCAGAGGGACAGGGAAGATGACGAAGAGCACTTAGTGGTCTACTTACTTGTGAGGAATGTTATGTTGTTTATGTTGAGGTATGGTTTATACTGGAGGTTGTAACCAAACTTGAAGGTTCTTCATTAAGTACTTGAAGTTCTTGTTGCTTCCAGCAAGCATGGTATGTCACCTACATATTTCAGGCTGTTAATGACTCTTCCTCCAATCTTGATGCTGTGTACTTCTTCATGTAGTCCAACTGTTCAGATTTTTTGCTCAACATGCAAATTGAATAAGTATGGTAAAAGAATACAACCCTGACACACACCCTTCCCGATTGTAAACCATGCAGTATCCCTGTATTTATGTACAAGTTCTTCATGAACACAATTAGGTGTTCTAGATAGGTGTTCTATCCATAATTTGTCATGATCCACAGTCAAATGCCTTTGCATAATCAGTGAAACACAGTAAATATATTTCTGGTATTCTCTGTGTTTAGCCAAGATCCATCTGATGTTAGCAATGCAAAATCCTTTTCTGAATATGACTTGAAGTTCTGGCAGCTCCCTGTTGAAATACTGTTGCAACCAGTTTAAAATTATCCTCAGTAAAATTTTATGTGCGTGTGATATTAGTGATAATGTTTGATAACTTGAGTATTCCGTTGTATCACCTTTCTTTGAAATGACAAACATAGATATCTTCCAGCCAGGTTGTTGTCTAGAAATGTCTTGGCACAGACAGCTGAGCACCTCCAATGCTGCATCTGTTTGTTAAGCATCTCAACTGGTATTCCATCAATTCCTGGAGTCTTGTATTTTAGCAGTACCTTCCGTGCCACTTCTATTTCTTCCTTCAGTAACATCGGCTTTTAGCCATATGCTGCTGCCTCCTAAAATGGTTGTGTCAACTAATTCTTTTCAGTTCTCCGACTGTGTGTGTGCCTTCCATCTTCTTGTGCTGCTTCTTGCGTCATTAAATATTTTATCCGTAGGGCTTTTAGTTCCCTTTCCTGTCTTTAAAATTTCTTTATGTATGTCTTTGATGTTATCAAATCTATTCTGAAATAGTCTCTAAAATCAGATAAGATATACTTGAGATTGTACTTTGGTTCTTGTAGACTTGTTTTCATTTTCTTCAGCTTGAACCTGAACTTGCACATGAACAATTGATGGTCTGGCCCTCAGAAGGCTGCTGGACCTGTACTAACAGGTGATACTGCATCTGTCTTCATTGTCTCTTTCAATATAGTCTATTTGGGTTACACTGCTGGCATTTGAAATACCTGTGCGCCTTAGTTCCCGATATCATAGCAGTAAGAAAAACACTACTACAGTGTAACAAACTGACAAACGTGTGGTGATAAGGAGACTAAGACAGGTTTAGTATTTAGACAACTCATCTGTGGCCGTCTACTTATACTCCAAACAAACACCTAAAACCTCTTTGTTGCCATCAAGTCAGTTCTGACTCATGGTGACCCTATATAGCAGAAGCACATTTAAACATAGCTTGTTCGGAATAAATCTGTGCATGTGTGTGTGTGTGGAATGGGACCCTGGTAGCAAAACCCTCATTTACTTAGCTTCGCACAATGACTTTATGCAGATAAAATTCACTCAAAGGGTGCAGTAAAGTCAGTGCGGACGGATTTAGCTTGTTGGTCTTGTTCACATTTGGAGATGCGTATGCTCTGAATACCAAAATTTTAAATAGGATTTAGCAAAGTAGTATGAGTCAAAGAAAGCATTAAAGTACTCAAATGAGTCATTGGTTATTGTGACCCAAAAAAAGAAAGAAAAACTACAGTTGTCTTTTTTTATTCCCCCTTCAAATTCTCCTACTTTTAAGTTTGTGTGGTTACTTTCAAATGCAATGTAATTTTCTTTTGTTTTGTATTTATATATCTTAATTTTTAAAATAGGCAATATGTGCATCTAATACATAATTCAAAATTTTTATAAATTTTATAAAATGGTAACCAAGTGAAAAGTCACTTTTGGCCCTGTCATTCAGCAATCCAATAATAGATTTTTATTAGGCAACCATTGCTTACTAGTTTCTGTGAATTTGTAGCAAAGATGTTTCATGTATATATTTACAGAACACCACACATATATACAATGCGTGTGTGTGTGTGGCTCACTATTCTGTTGCTAGGTGTTTAACATAGCAGAATAATCTTGGAGTTAATCTCACATAAACAACATCATGCTGCCTGACTCTTTGCAGCATCGTTACCAGAGCTGGCTGGTCTGCTGGGATTACACTCTTGAAAGTGATTGGACACCCTCCTGTGTGTTCATTCAGTCCTTTCAAATATTATTTCATCTATATGAGGAATTCAAAAAGTTCTGGAAAAAATTGAATTAAAAAATCATGGAATTTTCCCAAGAACTCTTTGAAGCCTCCTCATATTTATGTTTTGATGAGCCTCGATGGTGCCACGGCCGCGTATATGGCTGCGAACCAAATGGTTGCCAGTTCAAACTCAGTAGCCATTCCACAGAAAACAGGTACAGCAATGTGCTACATTTTTACCCTGGCAAACCCTATGAAACCCCAGTTCTACTGTGTTAGGAGGTCACAGTATTTGTAATCAACTAAACACCAGTGGGTGTATTTGTCCATTTATTTCCTTTTCTACTGTTATTTCTACTTCACTGAAATTGTGGCTTTTGTCTTGAAGATGAGGGTAGCATTTTCTAGTGGGTGTTTACAGTGGGAAAATACCTCTCAGCACCCTCCCATGATAAGACTCGCCTTGAGGGGCAAGGAAAGAAAGATGTGTTTTCTTGGACGCTTGTCCTTTCCTTGGCCACCATGCATTATAATATTTAATGCACCCAATGTTTGCCTCTTTTCACCAAGAAATCTAAACCAAAGAGAAAATGAAGATAAGTTTTTACAAACTTACTTAGGGCCCAGAACTTTATCCTCAAAAGATATTATTAGCATTAATAATATTTTCCTATCTAAAGCAAACTCACATTTCGCTATACCTTAGGAAAGCTCATCCACATACATGAAATCTGATCCTCACAATATAGACAGCTTATTTTTTTCATTGAAACCAAGATTGGATTGAGTCCATTGTTCCCTTAAGATGTAATTAAGCATTTCCCAGTGAAAATTAGAAAATGTTTAACTTAGTTTAAATATTAAATTCTACCTTAAATCTAGTCACTCAATGGTTATTCCATTATAAAGTATAGATGATTCGCTTACCATAGAAATTAGGATAGTGATAACATTGACGCACCAGTTTACAGATTGAAATGTAAATTTTTATTTTAAAACAAAAACCTCGTCCCATTGTTTTTCTTCGTCTGTTGTGGTTTCATATTACTTCCCAAACCATAATAAGCCATAAGAACCTGTAGACATTAATAACGAAAGCAGACTCTCTGCCACCAAGTCAATTCCGAGTCACGGCTGCCCTGTTGGACAGGGTAGAACTACTGCCGTGGGCTTCCAAGACTGTCGCTTACAGGAGTGGAGAGCTGAACTGGTGGTTTCAAATGGCTGACCTTGTGAGCAGCCCAACTTGTTACCACTGCACTTCCCTGGCTCCCAGAAGTTGACAATAGGTAATAATAATAGGTGAGCATTGGCAGCACTAATAAGGTTATTGATTATTTTCCTGATGGCTCTCGGGATTCGGAGTTGGGCTGCTAACTGCAAGGTTCTTGGGAGAAGACGCAGGAAAACCCTATATGAGGCCACTGTGAATTAGAATCCATGCAAGTGACAGTGAGATTGGATTTTTTTGACTTGTACAGCAAAAAGGCCAAATGTAAAACTTTCATATTTGAAGTTTTAAGTCATTCTGTAGTAGATATCTTAAAGAATTCAAGTGTACTTAGGAAATATGATCTTATGTGGTACTTTGCCCCAAATGAAATAGAATCTGTGCCTGTGTAGTATAAAATAATCTACCTAAATGGTACAGAGCAAACAATAATATCAGTATTTTTCTTAAACTACTGTCTTATTTTTTTAATGTTATTTTTAATGCATTGCTATTCCTTTTAGAAAAAAAAAAAGATTCCTAATTGACTCTTTGAGGGTTTCCTTATTAAATTTTGTTGATTTACTAGCACAAGAGAAAAAATGTCAACCGATATGTTTATCTGTGATTTTGCCAATATCTCTGGGGATAAGTTTCACTTAGAAAAGGTTTCTCATTCAGGTATAATTCAGAGTTCCAACTTTTCCTATATAGTAACTATAATAATTATATCTGCTTGATACAGAAGGAATGTTACACATTACACTGAAGAAATGTTTCTACTCTAAAGATACGTAAAGAATGATGAACATTTGACCCGTATGCTTTCAAAAGGCATCAAATATTTTCTTAGGAAAAGCCAACTTGTCTTCAAGATCTGTGGAGCATACTGTTTGCTGAACTAGTGGCCAGACCCCGGTTTTTCTGCTATATATCAGTGTTTTAACAGATACCGTATTTCAGTATGTGTACAAGTTCAAAAAAGGTTTCCCCATTTAACCTTGATTTTTTTTTTCCCCCTCCAGCAGCCTGACTGAAATTCCTTTTTGAGAGGGAACCGTTGTCCACGATAAGTGGTCAGACGACTTGCTAATCACCTTAGACGTCTGAGGCGTTTTCACTGACTGACTTGACTGACTCTTTTTGCAGTGGTTTGCATCTATTAAAACGTGTCGTGCAGCCCTCACCACACTCCGTTTCAGACTGACGTGAAATCCGAGTAAGAGAGGGAAACAGAGCTAGCTGCCTAAGACTGCCCAGCTGTTGAGTAGTAGAGCCAGGACTGCGCCCCTATCTGACCCTAGCCATTGTTCTTAAGTGGTCAAGAAGAACGTGAATACTGAGAGTGTTTGGTGAAATCCTTTCTTAATGCTAGTGTTCAAAACCATTCTAGTTCTGTAAAAGACTACCCCATCTTTTACTACATTTAATTGTTAGGCTTCTGGGGGTATAATGTGGCTTATAATATATGTAAATCTCTTTATACGTGACCCATGTTTTAGCAAATTTAACTACAACCTTTCTTGTTAACTTCCTTTGTGCCAAATTTTCATTGTTTTCTTAATCACCAAACTGTGTTACTAATGTTATATTTTGGTTTGTTTTACAGTGATCCTTTTCTGTATGGCTGCCCTAATATTTCCAATAGGATTTTACATCAACGAAGTCGGAGGTCAACCTTATAAATTACCCAACAATACAGTAGTTGGGTCATCATATGTACTTTTTGTCTTATCCATTTTCTTTACAATAGTAGGACTTCTATTTGCAGGCAAAGTTTGTTTACCAGGCTGATGAATGTCTAAATTGCTTGACTTTTTTTTTTTTTAATTTTTTTTTTTGAAGGAGGGGTGAACAAAGGCAAGGCATCTGAGCAGCCTTCTCAGAGGAAGATGCTTAGATGAAACTGATGTTGAAAGAAGACAATGCTTTGATTTGTTCTCACTATGCACTTTGGATTTTTTAAAAAATGAGAGCCTTTTCCATAACCAAATACAGACAATATTGACTAAATCTCCTGAGCATATTCAGGCAGTCAGGTCTGCACTGTGATAGCAACCTAGTGAAGGAGAATGCTTTATACTGAAAAGCATGTGGCCCTTTATGACTCTGTTGTTCCGTTTTTATTGTCTAATGATTCATTTGAGGCGGGGGTGGGAGGGGAGGGAGTCTTAAGTATTTATGAATCATGGTGGACCAGAGGGATCTAAGAGAAGTTCGAGTGGGGCTGGCCTCACCTCCTAAAGAGTAGTGTTCTGAGTTTCCTTGTGATGGTGTGAGCCTTGTTCACCAGAGCGGATCGCCATTGCATTTTGACACCAAGAAGCCAGTAGATCAAAACCTGTTTGCTAAAATGTATGTAAAAATTCTAAAATTTCCTTATTCTCTGTGTACAAAAAAAAAAATCAAACACTAAGAAATATGTTGTTTGGGGTGGGTGGGAGAAATCTTCCTTATATTTATATAAATATATATATAATATATATATTTTGCTGATGCAGTATACAGTGTATATATGTGTGTGTGGGAGTATGGGTGTGTAAATTTATACACACACATGCAAACAGTTCCTGGAAGAGAACTTTGACTGCTTTGCTAGCAAAACACTGTGGTGTGCAAACCTAGAATTCAATAGAAACAAAAGCCATTTCTCTGAAGGCTGTACAGTGGAGAGAGTCTTCAGTTTACCTCATTCTTTGTAGCAGCCCTTGATTTTAACAGGTTTTTGTAATAGGTACAAATAATCCCATACCTTTCTAGGTGCAATTTTAAGTTAAGCTAAAAATTCTTTGTAGGGTTAATTTATTTGTATATGATAGGAAATGGTAAGATCATGTCATATTTTGAAGTTCAGACCTAATAATTTGGGGACTCTGATGCCATCTAAATTATTAGCCACTGTTGTCTGTTGTACAGAGATTCTCTTTTCTACTGGCACAGTCATACATTAATAATGCATTTTCTATGTTTAAGCACACATTTTTACATAAATACAGAGTTCACTAGGAAACATAGTTTGGCTATTTACAACACTAACTTTATCCTGCCATAAAATGCCAATTAATTTATGTTCCTTTCATCTGTAAGCAGTATTGATGCATCCCCTTTACCAAAAACCTGAGCAATACAATGTTTTTCCTTTATGCGCTATATGCCTTTTTGCTAAAAGCTGACATTTTTGCATTTATTTTAAAGGGCTGTACTAAACCCACAGCTTTAAGTTTTTCCTACAAGGAGCATCACAGCTAACCTGGAACCCACAAAAAAATTTTAATCTTCAGTATTTCTCTTCTCCACATTTTCATGCCTTCTTGTCAAAGCTTAGTTGTTTTTTTCAGGTGAGCATTATAGATAATCTCCTGTTTGAACTGTGGGCAGGAGGGTCGTTCATGGCAATGGAGCTGAGTTTTTCTGCTGTGTGGTAAAATGGCAAAACCCAAATGTCCCTGTCAGAAGAGTTAGAGTCCTGTGGAGCCAGTGCTTCACCCAAGAAGGAATTAGTGCACTGTTTCTTAAGAAGCTTGGTTATGAAATCTAGAATGATTGCTTCAGAGATGGGACTACCTCCTCAGAGAGTTTGACATTTTTTATCGTACTATTTAGCAGTATTTCATTGTGAAAGGAAGCCCCAGTGTTTCAGCTCACTTCTGGTGGAGGGTCAGAGGTGAGCCACTGCGGGGGTGTTAATTAAGTGTTCTGGGGGGAATGTCACACATTTCCTTGCCAGGGGAAACAAACCTTGAGCAATGTCTGAGGGGGGACACTGTCCTCTAGTCAGTTCTAAGACTGCCACTGAACTTGTTCTGTGGCCGTCTGGGATTGCCATTCCCGTGGTGATTTGACGTGCCCTCCGTTAAATGGATCGCTCTGAAGGAAAGCGTTGGCCGTCACCTTATACCACGGAGAAAAGGTGTTAGCAAAGCATGGTTCACATTAATTTGTGATCTGACCAAGAGCTTTTTTCTCTTCCAAAAGATGAATTTTATTGTAAATAGTTTCTCAAAAGGTTCTTAACTGGATCATGAGCGTGGGGAGAGAGAGTTTCTCAGCTGCTAAGAATTTCCCCACTGTTTATTTCTTTCACTCACAGTAATACTGCATTTTACAAAATTTAAGGTTTTGTTTGTATCTATTACCCAAACCATTAAGTTGTCTTTAATTTCCTCATTGTCTGGAGGCCTGGTGCGTCAGTGGCTGGTGAAGGGCCGTCTAGCCCGTCAGTGCTCTCACCTAGGAGCCAAGCCATCTCATCAAGTAGTGTGTGAAGTCACGCCTTGCACCCTTCCAGACCCAACATTGAAACGGACTCATTCACTTAGAACTCTATAAATGCTGTACATGAAAAGATAGACAACTGTCAGCAGTTGTTGTTTAAAAGGTCACTATATTAAGTACTCCATAGTACAGTATTAATTTATAGCAGGAAACCATATCTTGTAAACTGTATATAGAACACTGTTTTATGGTGCAATCATTTGTCAAACTTTTGTCTTTTACATTGTTTTTAGTGTGTGCATTCTTTTCATACCTAAGAACATCACTGTAAAATCTGCTGAAAACTATTTATAGGTTTTATTTGCACAAGATTTAATTGACAATTTTGGAAGCTCCTATTGAACATGCGTAAGCATCTGTAAACATGAAAATTCTTCTGTTCATTGAAAACAAGTATTTCAGTGTGGTTACTTCCAAAGGTAATCCATGTTCTATGTTGTTAATGTGTGTATGTAGCTTTTCTGACTCACTCTTCCGTCTCTTACAAACCTAATTCCCGTTGTGTTTGTTTCGTTTTTGAAGGATGGCTCCTTTTCGTTTCCCCTCTCTACTCCATCTTAATGTCCTAGATGACCAAAACAATTGGTTTTGACCCTTTTGCCTAAAGCTCTGATATGTCTCCTCTGTGGTTCTGTGAATTCATTGTTAATCTCTTAAACGACAATAAATCGTCCTGGTGATAAGCAATCTGTTGACTTTAGAGAAAGGCCTGAAGAAGCCTCAGAACCCAGCTTTGGTTGTACTCCTCACTCGTGTTTTGCCTCGTGGGCTACATGGAAAGAACATGTTGCATTTATTTTGTCTTTATTAAAAGACTACTAGCCACAAATTACTGATTGTAGTAACTGTCTTTTCAACCCACTTTGATCTCCTTTACAAAGTTAAATTTATATTCACAATTCAAAACACTAAACTGTCTTGCAGAAAAGTTTTGAAGGATAAAAATAGATGAAGGAAAAGAATGGTTTGTATAGGTAGGGAACCTTACACAGGACTTACTGGTTGTATCACCTCAAGAGATTTTAAAGTTTGTGATCAAGGTCTGTATATTATCCCAAACTTTATTAAGAATTGTTTTCTAATTGGTTATAATATTTTTCAATTAATAGTTTCAAAACAAATTGTTAATACAAACTGTATAAAATGGACATAATTTTCTTCACTTGTATTTTTGTTATTGAGCAAGTTTATCAAAATAAATTGTCTACTAAAGAAACTAAAAAGCCTTCTATTACTTTGAAATAAGTTTTGGTTTTAAAAGTTGGTTTCTTAAAGCGGTTTCATTGACTCTTGAATTGGTTCTCTTGTTACATTGTGCAGGATTTCCTTCCCTCCTAACTCGGCTTACTTGTGCCTAGAAAAGAGATGCTGTTATATTCCAGGACGTGGAGTATTTTACCAGTTAAAAGAGTCACTCAGCAATAAAAGATCACATGTTCGTAGCTCCCACTTCTGCTGCATCGTCTTTCTGGGGATTGGGGCAGAGAACTTGAGCCAGAGCACCCAGGTCAGCCATCTTTTCTTCCCTGCAAAGACACAAGCTTATTTCTCTTTGCTTCAGTCTTCGGTCTGCTGCAAGCCAACAGATCGAAGTCCTAAGATTTTATTTGGGTGTGGAGGAGCCATGTAGAGGCCCTGTGTTCCCACATAGCTTTTCGTAGCTCTCTGTTGGCCTATCAGGACTAGCCCAGCCTAATAACAAAATGACACTGTGGTTACCTCTGCTGCTATTTCTTTGTATGGTCTTTTTAGAAGTCTCTTGGCAAGTTTGGGATCTAAGGGGGGAAATGGGCTTTGAATATTCTTGGGGCTTGGTTTCCTGGGACGTAGTACTTTCAGTACTAAAACTGAGAAAGTTCCTAATAGACCCTAATGAGGCGATCATTCTTTCTTTATATAAGCCAAATCTAACTTATTTTTGAACATTGGTTAAAGACATGAAGGATTTTTTTCTATACCCATTAATGAATGGAGTAGTGAGAATTTGTAATGGTAGGCTTAATCCTAAAATTTCTAAAGTTAATCCTTCTGTTTGATAATACCTGAAATACTTTTAAAAAGAAATAACACGGGTTCAAAATTATCTTAATTTGGCTTAGCCACTTTTAACAGACATCTTAATCCATTTTAGCCACTTTTGGAGAAGATTTTAGGAAAAACACCAAGCAGAGAACCTTGGTCCTTTTTATGCCAAGTCAGTTCTTCTTGGCCACACTTAATCCCACAATGAAATATAGGTGGTTAGTTATAAATGGTATTATAGAAAGTCAATGCTGTATTTGTTTGTAAAGTTTTCTCTCCCCAGAAAAAACAACAACACTAGATTGCTGTTTTCAGGCCTGTCCAAGGTTTCTACAAATCAGCCCGAGTTCAAATCACAGTATAAGAACAACCCCTGCCCCCTGCAAGGTTAAACTTTAAGAAGAGATGTCCCCCCTCATAAAATATTAGCACTGAACGAAATCTAAAAGTATGTCTAGGGTTTCCATTTTCCAATGAATTCAAGGCCTCAGTAAACCCAACCCCTAAATCTTACAACCCAGTCAGCACTCAACACAGGAACAAATGGGTTTGGGGCCTGGAACAATTTTCACGTTTTTTGTAATCTGTCGAATTGTGGCCCACAAAAATTTCTTAGCTTGGCTGGGCTGTGATTCTCAGTCGTTGGGCAAATTTATATAATGATCACCCATGATGTGATCAACTAATGGGCTGTAAAAGGATGTATGTACCATCCTTAATCCTGTCACAACCCTAATCTGATAGGAGAGTTTCCCCGAAGTGTGGACTGCAACACATTTTATTTTAAGAGAAGAGAGGGACCGACTACCACCAAGAAGGGGGGAGCGAAGAGCAGAGTTCTGTGATCCCT